CAAAGGAGTTTTCCTAGCAAAAATGGCAGAGTGAAACAAGAGATTTAATGCAACAAAATCCATATTTAAGTGAGTTGTTCATCTCACTGCTATTACGTTTCTTTGTTTGCATTTCCGTGACTGCATAAAAATGATGCAAATGGAGATGGAAATGTTGATAGAGGACCAGGATGCGCTAAAAACACAGAGGTTTCAGCTTTTTGTGCTTTTGTTTCCTTCAACTCTTGCTTATTTGTTTAGTTCTGATTTCAGGAAAAACTTCAATGGCTTGTTGAAATATATATTTATATATAGGAATTTTTTAAAGCGAATTCCCAAAAAATATAACTATAAAACACTGCCAAAAATTAAACTCTAACCGCTTAATTGTTTATTGTAATTTCCTTATTATCTTAGCTGGCTATAAGTAACCAAAATGAAGTATTCAAAACCTCCCCTTGACTTGTACAAAATGCTTAAATTAAGCCGACTACAAGTTAAATCCTGTAACAACTGCCGGAAGTGTAGGAAATTAGTTGGGGGGAATTTATTCAGAATAACTTTAAATACCGCTCACGGAGGAAAAAGTTCTGGGAAACACACATAAGCTTAAGCCATTAGCAAGGCTTAGAGAGCCGAGGTAAAAATCATAATCTTCTAATTTCGAAGAAGGAAAAGGGGGCGAGGAACGTGCGGCACGCTGGCGTATGCGTAATATGCCTAATGCAAAACGCAAACTCAAATAAAAGTGAAATACGAAGACGCCTCTACGCAAATGTATTTGTAAGCAGGCACTTAGCACACTCAGGAGCTGAGTTTTTGAAATATGCTTGACGGCTCTTGGCTCTTGGCTGACTGCCTTCCTCAGCCGAAAAAAAAGGGAAACAGAGAAGCACACAGACACAAAGACAGCGACAGCGGTAGCAGCTAAAAGCCGAGGTCCTTATGAGAATTTGACAACATATTCTCGCACAACAAGGGGCGGTCATACCCATACCCATGCCACCACCACCGCTCCTGGGAGAGTATCCTTGCCGTTTTCCTGGCAATCTCAGCGCGTGCCGCACGCTTTGCGCATTTAACGCGTATTTTGCACAGCGCTTCTAGCCGCTTCTATTTTTGCGCAAAACAGGACCTCCTCCTCCTCGTCGTCGTCGTCGTCGTCGTTGTCTCCTTTTTGGGACATGCTAGCAGGCAGTCGCAAGCCAACTTTGTGGCTCCCCATATTGTATATATAGTTGTGCTCCACATCCAAGCCATAGATGCCACATGCACATCGCCACGCAGAATGCTGCATAAATTGTTTTTAAAGTCCAACGGAAAGTGAGTGAAATGCTAGAGCCTTGCTCTCACCTGTCGCTGCTTTGTGCTCTACTCAGTAGTCCTGCACTGCAAGAAAATTATGGGATATAGTATTCTAAGGACAATAATATTTTTTATAAGTTTTACAAAAAGTTGTATATTAATTTTACTAAAATCAACCTATTTCCGAATAAAAGAACGATTTGAAATTCCGAAACCTTTAGCAATTTCCCGAATCAAGCCATTTTCCAAAGACAAAAGGAGATCCCGGATTTTCCTTGATGTTCCTGATGCACATACCTGTGGCGTTGACTTAGGGCATCCACTTGGCAGGGCAGACAGGTCGCTCTTCTTTAAATACAGGCTTCCCCATTCAGCCTTGTGATAGACAGTCCTGGGAGAGGAGTGTTGACAGCATCAGAGGAGCAGAAAGAGCACGAGGAAGAGGAGTAGCAGCAGCAGCTGACTTGGCACCAGAGTTCGCCTTGGGGTGTCGTTTGCGGTTTGGCAGCCATCTGGATGTGCGGGGAATATGCTTATATGCAGCCACATATGCAGGCTGATCCGATGGTATGTATAGTATATACATATGTATACATAAACACCAGTGTAAGCGAAGGCCACTTACCATTTGGAAGGAAAACAAACAAGGAAATCTTTTTGGGGGGATGAAACTTAAATATCCTTAAAATGTCAAGCCAACGTATTAGTTGCTCAAATTTAAATAAGGCTAAAGGCTGTCGTTGTTTTTGTTTAAGGTTGAGCTTAAATTTGAAGAGGGGTCACGAAATGGCAGGGGATTCAGTTATTTTTTGATAGACGGAACGATATGGAGATTTATATATAGAAAAACTTTAAACTTATATGGTTTTGAATGAGTTTTTTGATAAATCAAAGCAATATGTTATATGGATGACATTTTCCCAGTATAACTTAAATTGAATTATTGCAAAAACCTTTCGTTTACTCCTTAAATTGTTGTTAACTTCCGCACTTTGTTGGCTTTTGCCTTACTTCCTGTTTGTTAATTCACAGTAGACAGTGGAGAGATTCACCTGGCAAAGGCACTCATTTATCCCCTCGAGGGGATTATTTGTAATTTACAATTTATGTGTAATGTGCGTGCTTGTAATTTGCTGATTTAATTAGTGGCCATAACTCATTGTTATGGACAAGGACGCGACCAAGATAATAAATGACTTTTAATTGTTGGCCATGCTCGTAATTAGTGAGAAACAGCGGTGGGTTTTGGGCCACGTAATAAATAAGAGGCCTCATCTTATCGATGATCTGGCAATGGAGTGCATAATGTGCTGAAAAGGTGCTACGAACCTGTGTTGCTGTTAAAGGATCAACCATAATTCGCGTCTAATTTGCGGTTAACCAACTTACAACAGCGCTCCCAAAATGATGGCGAACATTTAACAATAATTAATAATCATTAGTAAGCCGCACATTATAAAGTGGTTGACTAAATATTGAAATTACTGTGATATTAATGCCAGGCCAGGAACAACATAAACAATGGCATTATTATGGGCACTCGCTCTCACTCATCCCGTCCCGTTGGCCTCGCCGTTATCCTCGATTGTCCTTAATGACAACAATGTGCAAACTGTTTTGAAACAAACGAGGAGCAGCAAAGTGGCAGGAGGCACGAGGCAGCTACAATAATAGCAAGTGCCAAGCAATGGCAATATTGTCGCACTTGTGCGCGAGTGTGTGTGCGTTTTTCGGCCCAAATTATGGACATGCGTGTGAACTGCAGGCTTGTAAATTGAAACTGTGACACGCCCATTACCATTACCGCCCACACAGAGCAAAAATAATTATTTTGAAAAAGGATTTCATCTAATAATATAGTAAATATTAATAAATGCCTTTCACATTTGCAGTTTAAATTTGATTTAATACCAAAATGTATTTTTTAATTCTACAAAATGGATAATACACCCCGAAAAATACGGTATATATACTTTTTAAAATATTATAAACTGTTTTAGATTTAAAATTTAATTTTTATTTAGCAAAAATATTATAAAATAGGTTACTATTTGCCCTATTTTATTTTTTAAGTGCACTGAAAATGACTGCCGGCCTTAACAAAACAAACTATGTGGTGGCTTTCGCTCTCGACAGGCGCCATTGCAGTAGAGTCCCAATGCGCTTCTGTTAATTATTTCTTTTGGTAAAAATAACTTTTGGAAAATACATAATTTGAGTGGTGCTAATTAAAATACAAAAAAAGTAATTACAAATGCCAAAGCCCAGCTGAAAAGCTAATGGGAACACTAGCAATAGCATTTATTTAAGGATTTATATAAAAAAACAAATCAACATCATATTAAAATATATATATATATATATATAAATATACTTATATATCACTGTTTTCTTAATATTTACAAAAAAAAAATCAAAAATTACCCACGAAAACACCATAATAATTACCCTTCTCTTATCTCTTTTAGATTTCCTTAACACTTTCCTTATAATGGTGGATTAATGATTCTCTCAAACCAAAACTCGTTAACCCCTCTCTCCAAAGAAAAGTGGCTAACAGAAATTGCCGTGGATTTAGTCGTAATTGTGGTGGCCAAGAGAAAAGCTCCATCTGATCTCATTGCCCTCGGAAATTGCATTAATAATGCAGCTGGGAGGGGAAGCTCACTTTCGACTGCATACTTTTCGGGGGCTGAATTTAATATTTGGCAATTATGCGAATGCGAAGAAGTGTATGAGTGTGTTTGTGCGTGGCGCCCCGAGGCAAATGAAATATGTGTGGAATTGCGTATACGCTCTGGGTGACATGGGAGTGTGAGTATAAGTGCGAGTGCATTTGCCATTATATTGCATAATTTATGCGCACATTTAATTAAATTCCAACCCTTTCACTGGCCTTTTTTTTTTTTTTTTTTGCTCAGTTGACCCAAATACCCGTCACCGCCACGTTTAATGCCTGCTTAATTTAATAAACTAACGCAGTCCGAAAAAGGGAAAACATTAACTGTCAAAATAGCTTTAAATTAATTTGAAAATTCATGACCAATTTGTCACCACTAAAAGTAAAAAAAGAGATATATATATGTATGTATGTATGTATATGTAAAACCAAACGATAATTTGTACAAAGTTAATTGCATTTAATGAGCATTAGAGGCTAAGCGGATTGCGGATGCTGTAAAGAGCAAATGTAATTTGTAATTAAAAAAAAAACTTACGACTGCAATTAGTCTAAATGCTTTTTTGCATGAAATCAAATTGAATTCATATACTATACACCAGAATGAAAGCTAACCCTTGCAGTTTGCAATTGGATTAATAAGAATCGATTCATTTTGGTCGAATTAAAAGAAAAAGTAACAAAAGGTATTTAAATCCTTAATAAATATAATATAACAATACGATTTTGATTTCCGAATATAAAAATTATCGTAGACTTTATAAATAAAAATTTTTTCCAGATAATCAAATTGGCGTTATCTCTCAATGCAAACATATTTACTGTAAAATATATATAAAAGGCTTTTTATATTTAAAAATTACAACTCTTCTACACTGTAATAAGTTTTAAAGAAAATCGAATACTATTAATATTTTTTACGGCATTCCAACTGCAGACGATCCTTATCTTTGGCATTATCTTATCGCTCCAACCCTTAATTCCAATTGCTGTTTAAAGCGACGCCACACATTTAGTTAAGTTCGAGAAGTAGAGGCGTACGGTTCAGTAGCTCAAAGAAAGCAACTATTACAAATAATTCACCAAGATTTCTTTTTACTTTGAACATCCGATAAGCGATTAAAGTGTAAACAAACCTGAGTCATAACTGATAAACGTATCCTACAAGCAAATGGACAAAAACCGGAAGAGCATTTTAGACCTCAATGAAGACTGTCAACTAGAGATTATGAAATATATTATTGCTGACTGCGAGTTGAGCGATAAATTTCGTGGTAATAAAATTAATTACGCCAATTTAGTAAATTTGGCCCTGGCGTATGAGGTTTTTGAGGCAATATTAAAAGAATACTACAATGATTTGTACGAGGAGCTGGAATTCGTTTTTGTGGCGAACAGAAGCTACCTTGATATCGATTTTTCAGAGCTGCTAACCACACTCACAGAAAAAGGAGAAGCTTTCTTGCGAATCTACGCTGAAGCCATCAGAGAAAATAACTTCATACAACAAGTTACACTTTACTTTGACCCAAAATCTTTTCAACCCAAATTTTTGGATCATTTTGAAATAGTAAAACGTGCCCTTGAAAATAAAAAGGGCCTTAACGATGTAAGAATTCAACTTTATGGTTAGTATATGCCAGCATTAAAAGTTACTTAAAATTTTTAAAAATAAATTTTTTATTTAAGGGTATTCCCTAGAAGATTTAAACAATTTTGGCCACATAACCAATCTCACTTTAGACGTACGAATGAGTGCAGATGCACTGGTAAATATCTGCAAGTCAAACCCGCATTTGGAAAATTTAAATTTTATAAGCACCGAAATTCTTGGAAGACTCTCCGACATCGTGCCACACTGCTGCAATCTTAAGAAACTACAGTTCGTGCCAAAGCCTGATAACGATGGAGCCGAATATGCACCACTGGCAGAGCTTCCCAACTTACAAGAAATGACTATATTCAGAGCCTTCGAAAATGGCTCTCTGTTGACATTATTTGAGGCGATAACCAAGTGGCAGAGACCAGAGCACCAACCGCTGACAGTGGACTTTATCGAAGTCTTGCCACATTTAAGTAACGTTACAATTGCGAGAATGAACGCTTTATCCCTTTTAGAGTTGGGGCATCCACGTGAGGATTATATAAAATTATTGATCTCTTACGACTTTTGGGATATATGTAGGGACAGCAGCCCCTTAGAGCAATCTCTCGCCACCATAACCTTAATTGAAGCAGATCTAATAATCGATCACAAAGGACTTGCCTTACATGAATGTCCGACAACAGATACTGATATAAGCGGATTGGTTTCTCTCCTCAAAACTTTTAATATAAAAACTTTTAAATTAAAAGACCTCTTATTTAAAAAACATTTATCAAAACTCTTTGCATCCATGGTACTAGACGAATCATATGCTTTGAAATCGATCAATACAGAAGGAACAGAAATATATCAATTTGAAACATCTGAACTTGTTAAAATAAAATCAATTACATCTTTAAACTGCCAATTTTCAGATTGGGAGTCTGTCGAGCCCTTGAGTGCGCTTACCGACCTGGAAACAGTCGGTATTCATATTGAAGAGGAGTTCGAGAAGACGTACTCAAAGGCACTTTGCAGTCTCTTAAATACCTGCTCGGCAAGCGGTGTCATTACGTGTCCAAATTGGAACATTGAATTTAAAAAGAGCGAGAATATATTAGGCCAAAATAAGAGAATTAAAACTCTAATAATTTTAACCAAAGAAGAAAATGCAGACGTTTTTGAAGCCTTCAGCTACAGAGATTTAATTACGATTGAGGAACTGGATGTTTCAGAATGTACCGGTATAACTATTAAAGAAATACTCAAAGTGGCAGACGTGCAGCCCATAACAAAATTAAGAATTTCATTGACCAATACGAATGACATTGAGAGATTGTCGGACCTAACTGAGCTCAATGAATTGACCATATGTGACTCTGAGAAGGGATCTCTTATAGAGCTCTTCCACCAATTGGTGACGAAGGTATCACCGTCGCTTCAATGCCTGGAAATTAATTCAAAATTTCTTTCTACCGAAGAGTTGATTCTAGTTTCTAGAATTAGGTCGTTGAAAAAATTAGATATATGTGATTATTCCTTAAATAAACATTCATCATTGGTGGAGGTAGCTAACTCGAATATTGAAGAATTAACGCTTACAAGTCCACACGGTTCTTTACGCAACTTATTTGCTGCATTTGGTGCAAAAAGTACAACCAGGCTTCAGCACTTGAACATAAAAAGCAGTTTTCTTACGCACACGGAATTCGAAGAGCTCTCTAAAATTAAAAGTTTAAGAAGATTTCAGTGCAAATGTCCCAGTAATGTGTCCTCTTTGCGGAACTTTAACCACTCGGTGCAACTAAATATTAGAATTATTAATATACGTTCAGAACAGTTGCAGTGTTTGGCTGAACTTGAACATTTAGAGTGCTTGACTATTTCGTTGAATAATTTAATAACATTAATAATTAATAACATTTATGTCGACTTCCTACGTGATCTGGCCAATATACAAAATCTCAGAAAGCTAAACCTAATAGTAGAGGTAGATTTTAAGCTTACAAATGTCTACCAGGCTCTTGCCAGTAAAAGCCGGAAATTAATACATCTATTCGCAACGATTGGATGTGTTGAAGAGTTAAACGAAATAACGAGAATTAAATCGTTACAAAATTTAATACTTCTTGTTAGACAAATTGGTAAAAAGTTGACAAGCCTAGAGGAACTATTAGAACTTAAGTCGTTGCGAATTATTATCATGAATCATGCTAATCATACAGATACAATCGATAGTTTGCCTTCTATTTTAAAGTGTTGCAGAAATCTCGACCGCCTTATAATTGATGCGAAGTTATATTTTTATGATACAAGTTTAGTGGATATTTATACCATTATAAGATCTGTAAGAGATCCCACACTTCAAGGTCCGTTAACTGTAATTGTTGCAAAAATGGAATATTGTAAAGAGTTTTATGATGACTACAATATACCGGAAATACTTGTAAGTATAAATATTTAATAACCCAATAACCCAATTAAAAATTGCATTTTTCAGGTGACACTTTTTGAGAATGCATACATGAAGGTTTTTATTTCATCAGACGTATATTTACATAAAATGCCTATCAATTAATGTACAATGCAGGAAATTATAATAATTTGTTATTATATCATTATAATATATTTTTTAAGTATTATATTTTGTTTTTAATTCCCTAGTAAAAATATAAAACTCTTGCATATATTTTGTATGAAAGCAAGCAAAGAAATTTCTCCAATAATTTCAGACGCATTTTATTTAGCTTAAACGAGTAAAGCAAACTATTAATTTTTTGTAGCCAAGGGCACATTTCTACAAACATATTTTTCACAGAATAATTACTTAATTATTTACTGGGAATAGCTTCATTTGATCAATAAGCTAAGCGGGCAAATTCAATTATTAAAGGAAAAAACATCATAAATCCGTATAACTAATTTAGCAAAAATAATTTTGCATAATTCTTGATTTATTTCCGCAAATATTTACAAACCTTTCACAATTTGTGTCTGCCATTTTTATACCCTTGCAGGGTATTATAATTTCAGTCAGAAGTTTGCAACGCAGTGAAGGAGACGTTTCCGACCCTATAAAGTATATATATTCTTGATCAGCATCAACAGCCGAGTCGATCTAGCCATGTCCGTCTGTCCGTCTGTCCGTCTGTCCGTCTGTCCGTCTGTCTGTCTGTCTGTCTGTCTGTCTGTCTGTCCGTCTGTCTGTTTCTACGCAAACTAGTCCCTCAGTTTTAAAGCTATCTGAATGAAACTTTGCATATAGTCTTCTATATGCTCTCACTGCTATATATGTCGGAACGGGCCGGATCGGACGACTATATCATATAGCTGCCATACAAATGTTCGATAAATTTTTAGAAAAAAATTATAACTTGGCTGTTTTTCAACATATGTGCACTATTTTTGACATATGACCATTTTATATTATTTCTGAATTTTGGTAAAAATTTTATGAAAATCGGACGACTATATCATATAGCTGCCATAGGAACGATCAGGAAATTAATAGAAAAAAAATTATAACTTCGTTGTTTTTCAAACTATTTTTTTCTACTCTGGGATATAAGCTTATTTTATTAGTTCCGAATTTTGGTATAAATTTTATGAAAATCGGACAACTATATCATATAGCTGCCATATAAACCGATCGGTAGGTATAGGGAAAATGTAAAACTGGGAATGTAAAACTGTAACTGTCAAACTCTCAACATAATAAGTATAGGTAAAATGCAATGAAATAATATCTGCAAGGGTATACAAACTTCGGCGTGCCGAAGTTAGCTTCCTTTCTTGTTTAAATTGATTTTTCAAATGCCTGGCCCGACCAGAAAAACTATGTAGCTTTCAAACCACATTTGCCCCTCAAAACCGAATTAGTTATTAGTTGTGGAAATTATTCTGCCTAATTTATGAGATAAAACGATCCGAAACAAATTCAATTAAAAACAGTAAGTGTTTAGAAAAAGCGACACGATTTAAATGAGAGCCCGAGGCCCATGTGTTACTTACTACTGGGTTTGTGCACAATTTGCATTCAGCATTAAATGCAATTAATAAATAATGAGGAGCAACGGCACTGGCATGTAAAGTGAGCATAAATGGAGTGGTGTCTGCGACAAGCTGGTTCTTAATGTCCTCGGAAGGAGACAACAAGCGACCAGCAGGGAAATTAGTTACGGTGTCGCACAAGGACAGTGAACAGGACATCGTATTCGTACTCCGACCATGTGTGAGTGACTTAGTGCCCCGGCCCGCCTGATCTATCATCATTAGTTGGATATGTCACAACAGACACTCGGCCCAATTGATTTAGTGTCCTGCACAGGGCTCAACAGTTCACTTGCCCAGCTAATACGACGTCCTCGTCCTCGTCCAGCATTCCTTGTTGACACACACTCCGTCTGGAGATCGATGGCACACAGACTGGACAACAGCTATGGCAAGTGAATTTCAAACACTAACCTAATTAGCTTGAGAAATTAATCTTGCACCCGGACAAATCAGCACTTGAAATAGTAAATTACATTAAACCACAAGTGTTTGCTTGGCAAATGGAATTTTAGTAATTTTTTTGTGGCTTAAGTATAGTTAACTAAATTACTTTAAAGGGATTTAAACGAAAATCTATAATTATTATAAAATTTAAAGATTAAATTTCAGATAATTAAATGGAAATATATATATAACATTTATTACAATAACTTACAAGCTCATCTTATTTTTCCCTAGTGTAAAAACCCACAGCAAATAATTTGATGGCTTAGTGCAGGCAAAGATGAATATTCATGATCTGCTGACCAGCCTTTTTGACCACTTCAAAGGGCCAGCTTCCTGTGCAACCAAACTTATTATACGCCCTTCGTCGCATGATTCGCACAAACGTCAGTCTCATTAATTTTGGGCAAGATGCAGTTTTCAAATTTAGTGCCGGTCGCCGCAGACCCGCCCCAGTTAATTAACACCTGCGCCCCTCACATACATACACACACCAAAACAGGGGAAACCTCTGAGAGGGCAAAACCGGGCGGGCAGGTAGCCACTTCAGTCACACTTTTGTGCTCGGCAGCCGTGTGCACTGACGCAAAGCGGAAGTGGCACTTTTCCCTGAACTGAACTGAAGCTGAATTCCCGAACTCGCGACTGGAGCTGGAAATGTACTGCATATATCGATATAGAAATATCGCATGGATTTATGGACCGAAATTTGATAGCTTAAAAAAATAAATACATTTAAATACAATTAATCGATATTTATCGAATTCATTTTGAGTTTGAAAATAATTTGAGAAAAAAATAATATGGAAATTACTTTCTTGAAATAATGTAATATTAAAAGAAGACTATCCTTATAATCAAACAATTATCCTTCTTTAAAACTCCTTTTTAAACCAAAGACAGTAATTAAAATTCAATAAAATTAATTTTGGATTAAAATACGATATACTTTCGATATCTAAGTCAACACATTCTTTTTCCAACACACAATCCCTAGCTGGTTCGGGAAGCTGATGTAAAACCAGAAGCTGCCACCAGCAGGCGTATCGAAAGCCGAAACTTTTGATGGAAAAAGTTTGCAACAACAAACGCATGTTGGCGGGGAAAAGCGGGCGAAACTGGAAAGCGGTGGCAGGGGAGCGCCTTTAAACCATCAAGTAAGTCGCTATAATTCGCGCGCATCGCCTCATGAATTTTGATTCTTTTTTTCCTGCTTTTATTTTTGCATTTTTTAGACTCCTGCTTTCACTTTAAGCTGCGACTTAGATTTGAATAATGAGGCCTGGCCAAAAGGTGCCCAAGACTGGGCCACAATCGGGCTTGGCTTAAAGATTTACGGCGACGTTTTTAAAACAGATTAGTTCACATAAAGTTAAACAAATTTGCAGATTAAATGCGGGGAAAATAATGCCTTTAAAAAGTAATGTAAATTTATACAATTTGTTAGATGATAAATCCCAATATCTCTTAATAAGAGTCATTTCCTCCAAATGATTTGCCTAATTGTTGACTGGAAAAAGAAAAACATCGGGTTGATGGTGCAACAAAATAAAAGTTGTGCCGAGAAGAAACTAAAAATGCAACAGCGGCAAGTTGTTCGACTTCTTATATTCTTTTTTCCGCTGATGCTGCAATTTCTTTGAAAGCCGCTGCCTGCTGCATGCTGATGACTTTGTCAACAACTTAAATTGTTTGGCGCAATAAAAAAGGGAACTTGAAAAGAGCAAAGTTTAAGTACGTTTAAGGGCCGCAGATCAGTAGGCGGCTTTGGGTTAGGTTTCCTTTGGTGGCAGAATTTGTTTATCATTTTGAACCCACTTGAAATTGACAACAATTTGCACTTTGAAGACATTTTAATTGAACTTCTTGTAAACAAATATGAAAACTAAAAGCACAACTATACACAAGTTATAGAGAACGCATATCCACAAGGCCACACTGTTGCAGTTCTGCAAAAATCGGTACGAAGGATTTACTTCTTCTTCTAAAATCTCGATTTCATGATCATTTTCCTCATTATTTCCAGACTCGATGTCCATTTCGATGATCTTGTAGCAGTCATCCTCCAGTAATACATTTTTGTCATCACTTTTGTTTGGTTTTCAAAGAGCTTAATTAATTTTAAAATTTTAATATTCTCTTCTTTGCTAATTTACCTCATTTTTAATCGTTTAATTTAGGTCTTTTCCTGTGCAAGGCTTGGGATAAACTGAGAACTAAGCAGAGTCACGTATTCCAAGCGACTTCGGCTCCAACATAAATATTCCCAGAACTCGGGATCCTATCAGCTTCTGGGTGCAGTGAGTCAAAAAATATTCGCACATAACCAATTTAGAAATTTAGATTTTATATTTTATTTAGAGATTATTTGTCAGATATTTTTATCAAAAAATAATATTTGTTTAATTTTGTAGTTTAATAATATCTGAGAATTTTTTTGCAATTTTTCAACACCAAAATCATTTTTTAAATATATTAAAATTTTGTAAATAAATTTGTAAGCCCAAACTTAAAGTTAACAATTTTTCTCCAAGTGTAAAAACAAAGAAAATAAAACCCTATAAGAGTTTATTTCTTAAGAGAGTCAAAGAGCACCAAAACCGAAAATATCTGAAGAGTCGTCGTCCAAAGATATTCCATGCAAGAATGAGTATCTTTGTAATACTGAGACTTAAAATTCTGAATTTTCTCAATGGTTTGTTATCTAGTACTAATAGATTTTGGTATTGATGGATTTCAAAAATTGATAAAAATTGCAATCAAGTTCTAAGAACTTAATCTTCAGTTTGCCTTCTCTTATTTTTGTGTACTTTTCTTGTCACTCTGGGATTCTCTGCTCTTCGCTGACGGGTCTCCTACGTCTTCGTGTATAGAGAGATATCTTATCTGAGTCAGAAGCGACACAAAAAGATTGTCAGCTCTTGACGTTTTTCTGCCTGCTTTGTTGTTGCCCCAATTAACACCTTTTTGGAGGTGGCGATAATAACGCAGTTGCTCGGCACTGCTGATTGGTAATCAAGAAAAATGGAAAGAAACTCGAAAAGAGTGATAAAGTGGAGGGATTGGACTATTAAATACCCTATTACAAGCTCATTTTATAAAATTAAAAAAATATATAAAAATAATAAGGGGGGAGTATTATCTTTTAAACACACAAACACTGCTTACATTTGTCGCTGTCTTGTCTTTTTCTTTGATATTTGAGGGAAAATGCCCAAGAATAATGAAATGCATAGAGAGAAATTAAAATATTTATGTATATTTTGTAATCAGTTTTCAAAAACACACCTTTTATAGAAACCAATATACCCTTTTACTAAACAAGAAATGGTTACCAACCGTGAAAATATCCGGAGACCCGTCATAGTCTCTCTTTTTAGTCGACTATTGAACGCGTTTCGAAATGGACACGGATGAGAAGATGGCCAGCTCCTCGATGCCGGGAATGTCCCACGACGAGGTTGATTTTACCAGCGGTTACGAGACCCAGTACCGGAAAGAGTACAGCCCCCTGAAGCCCATCTTTGTACCGCCGCCGGACAAGAAACATGCCTGGTTTCGCAACTGGTCCACAATCCTGATGGTCTTCTTCCTGAGCTTCGTTTTCCTTCTGGGCACCGTGATGCTGGTGGTTCAGGTCTTTACGGCCAGTCCCCTGCAGATATTCATGATTGTGGCCATATATCTGGCCATAGCCGCCGTCATGATCTGGCTGGAGGTGCAGTCCGTGAAAGTGCGCTGAGACAAAATACCGTCCGCATATATATAATTTATATAGGAAACCGTGACTAATTCGCTTTGCGTTATCGTATAAAAAATGCCGTGCTTGCAATCGACCTTTATTGTGCAAACAAATTGAAAGCTTAACTAGAACGAACCGACTTTACTGATTAGAAGGCGCTAAGAACCAAAAACCCACGATTTAACATAAGCTCAAACCAAATAAAATAAAGCAAAAATGTTGAAAATGTTAAAAATATAAAAATATGCGTGTGACTAGACAGTGCTTACTATATTTCACATTCCCTGATAGCTACTAGCTTTCACAGCGTAATCAACTAATTATTTACAGCCCATAAATGAACGTAATCTGGAGAGCAAAAACCGTGTGCAGATGAAGGGCTTTTGTGCCATTGAAGTGGACAGATAAGCAAACACAATTTAATTGAACAACAATGAATTGTTGGCAACAGTTTGTTGCATTTAACCGTAAATAAACACACGCATCCACACACAACAGTGGCAGAGAGACAAACATTCTATTTAAGTGACAAATGAATTGAATACAAATTCCAACAAAGAGTACTACAAAGTATTATAAAACCAGTAGTATAAACAATAAATGCCAAATCCATTACCATTCCATTCCATTCCATTATTTAAAAAAAAAAAAAATAATATTTTTTACATTGTTCAATTAAAGATAAATTATTTGTTTAATATATACATTATTATGAGTCAGTTTTCTGTAAAAATAAAATGAATCGTATTTTCTAAAGCCTTCTAGAACTTAAACGATAAAATGTATAATTAAAGGCGCAAATTCTTTGATTAAAATATAAGAAATTTAAAGAGCAATATATACTAGAGACTTTGACAGAAATAAATATTTTAGAAATTTTTTGAGAAAAGAAAAATATTTTGAATTACATTATTATAATCCCTTAAAATTTTAATAAATTTCCAAGCACTTATTAACAAATAATCATAACAAGTACTTAAAAACAGAAGTTCATGTCCATGTCTGCTGTCACATTATGTTATTCCTAGACACCCTTTCTCCATGACCTACATGACCAAATAGATTTGGTTGTCCAAATATTTCTACTCTTTATGCACATTTTTCTAAATCACTTCTGTAATTGCTTTTCACACGCCAGCAGTAAGAAAAATAACCAGACACACAATCGCCCTCTGTGTCCCTATGAAAGCTCGAAAATTTCACATGTTTTCCCAACAGTTTTCTCCTGTGCAGAGTGTGTGTCTCATCGAGTTGGTAAAATTCTAGTTTAATAGCTTGAAATGTTGTGAACACATGGTTAGTGAAAAACCAGCAGGGACAAGCGCATTCTACGTTTGCAAATTAAATGCTTAACAAGAAAAAAGGGAGCTCGTTGTCCCATTAAACTTTAATTTCCGTTGACAATGACCGGCGGGTTTTTGCTCCGCTTTTTTAGTCCAATTTTTTTATCCAACGCCTTCGCGACGAGGGCAACAGCTGACTTACCTTAATTACTCACAGGATTCCAAGCCGTGCTAATTATTTGCAGGGTGCACTGTCCAGACGAAGGCGGCAATGGCATCGCCAGCGCATTTAATTATACGTATACATATACAAGTGTAGATATATGTATGTATGTATATATGCGCGACGGGCGCATAGGCATTAATGCCATTTCCGGTCGCCGACCACCGGAGACTACGGCGACACTTGCTGCCAGGCGGCAGGACACTTTGTTCAACGTCAAAACTAAAATGCTGGCTTTGGTGGGAATACCCTGTAAAAAAATATACGATGTATGGGTTTTTAGTTCAAGAAAAATATAAAATTTTCCTAATACATAATTTATAAATATTCAATTTATTTGATTATTAATTTAAGATAAATTTAAATAATTCAAATATGATTCAAAGATGCGCCGCAATTTGAAAATTTCTCGAAATGGTAATTAAACACTTTATAAAAATCTTAATTATATGATTTGTTATTGTTTCTTTCGACTTTTCTTTGCCAGAAAACCAAATTAACCAAATTCTTTTTAACGTGTTGGCTTTAACAACACGTTAAAAAGAATTTGGTTAATTTGGTTTTCTTAAATTTCACCATATATTTTATAAAATTATGTCGACATATGACTAGTTTCCTCTAAGCTCTAATGATTTTAATAACTCATTTAACATAATTTACATAATTTCTTTGTTTAATTGAGAAGTTTGATTTGGTGTTTGGATTTGAGACTTAGATCTTTCAGTTGGTCGATCCAATCGGTATCCTATCCGCTTTACTATCTTGTTTTCTTTGAAAAAAAAAAAAATTAAATAAAAATACATTTTTCAAGGGTATCACTTATCCAGTACCTTGAAAAAATGGAAATTAATTTCCCTTAACGTTGAAAAAGCACAAGAAGGAGAAAACAAAAAGCGCTCTAATTATAGTCGCGCTAAAGCTGTGTTTAAACCATTTATTTTTTTTAGAAAGGTATTAAAGATTCTGCTTGCAGGACGATAACAATAACGGAGCCGCAGCAACCTTGAGCCAATAGAAAAGCAAAAATGCATTCAATATTCACATGCATTATTTTGCATTGATTTATAGCTCGTGTCTCGATTGCCTGCCCGCCGGCTCAATATTGCACATAAAAGGCATTTAAACAAAAGCAGTATTTACCATTTTATTTCTCTTTTGCTTTTTTAAATATTTAAATCAATGCATTTTGCAATAGAGAGCACAGTCTCCATTATTCAAGGCTTAAACAAGCTGGCGAAAAAAGGACACAAATGAGAAAGACACACTCTAGTTGCCCAAGGACTGTGAGCAACTGTGAAAATGCAAATAAATTGTTTGACTGCAACGTAAGCCTGAGGCGGCCACAGCTCCACTTGAGTTCGCCTGGGGAAATGTGTCTTGGAAATTTCCTTAAGTAAAACTCACTTGAACGCTTTTCATTAGAAAGCAGGAAAAGTCAACGGTTCAGAAAGGATGTAGAACTAAAATAAATAAAAATAAAATTCCTCAGCATGACTGTTTGTAATAAAATAAAATAAAACAAAATAAAAATAAAAATAAATCTTTCAGTTTATTGAATCAAGAGCACTCTTTATCACTCAGGGGATTTAATCCACAAGTTAAAATTAAACTATTTGGCAAAGCTATTGCATTATTTAATGTTTAATTTGAAATTTGTGTTGGCTATTAAAAAGCACTTTTTCAGTTGAACTGAACACAAAGCCTACAAAACATGGCAATTTTATGTTAATTATTTATGTAAATTTTCCCCTACTTAACCAGGCCACTCTTTTCCTTTTTTTTAATACTATATGCACAATGCAAAATGTATAATTTAATTACGACAAGACTGCAAAGTGCGACCGCATTAATAAAATTTCCAGTGCTCTCAATTGAAAAAATAAATTCTTTTTTCTACATGCGGCTCTTAAAGTGGCAAACCAAACACTAATTTAAATCAAAACAATGGCAAACGCTTGGCTTTAAATTAAAGTGAAACAGAGGAAAGCTCTGCCATTCGCATAAGCCAGCAGCACCCATTTGAATATTCAATTAAGTCTAACTGCCAATTCAGTGATAAGACCCTGACTGAGTCTGTGATGCCACCAAGGACTTGGCCAACTGGCCTTGGAACATGGCCCATTGGCGATAATTTTAGTTAAGACAAAAGGGGATGAGACCCAAGGATCACAAAGTTGGCACAAGGATTTATCGCAGTTATTGAAGCTGTTTAAATAAAGCAAAAAATAATTTGTTGTATATATATAAATTCAAAATATTAAACAAAAAACAAGCAAAAATTACAATCTTTCAGAATTACTAAACAAAGTATCTAAATTTCAAATTATATTTTAAACCACCACCCTTAAACCTATTCCAAATCAGGTAAAATTAAAATATATATTATATATAAATATATTCGCTTAAGTAATGGGCGTGTCAAAGCATTTTTGCGACATCTTTTATTAATTTTATGACCAACAAATGCCAAGAGTCACCAAAACGCAAACAGCATGCATAAATTACCGCAGAGCGACACGAAGGAACCAAAGTCCTTCGCTATGTATTTTCTCCTGGTGGCCAAAAGCCATTGCAATGCAGAAATTGTGTTGAAATATTAAAAAAGAGGCAAGAAAAAAAAAAGAAGAGAAGCCGAAAAACGAAAATTGTGGCCAAATGCAGATGAGCAGAGGCGGCGGCAAACGAAATTCCATCTCTATTCAACTTTTTGGACACTTTTCGAAGCCTTTTTCTTTTTTCTTTTTGTATTTGTTGAATGCTAAAAAGGCCACTTTAGTTTTAACCACAAAGTTTGTTTCAATGTGTGTATGTGTTGTGTGTGCCTTGCTCAACCCCGTTGCACTTTTGTTTTGGTCCAAGGGGCATCGGTCTTTCATGTCATTTAACCATGTTTCGCCTAGGACAATTGGGCCCAGGTCCAAGGCCTGGGTTCCAGGACCTTCACTGAGACTAGGGATGGTAAAGAAAGTCGAAATATTTGGATTACTATCGAAATACATGGAAATATTTACCTATCGATATTAATTTTTGGGATTATGTATGCTCTGGGATTTGTGGATTCAGTTTCTATTAAATTTTTTTTCATTTGTTCGATCATTTAAATCAAAAAGCATCGATATTATATTTCGTTCATTATCGTTCATATCGACAAATTATTATCGAAATATCTGTTGACATATCGATAGGCAAGATATTTATTTTTGTTAAACAAGAAATTAATAATTATTATGTCTATTAGCTTTAAGTTTTAGTACTCTTCTCTATTTAAAACTGTTCGATATTAGTTTTCATTTGGTAAACTTGCTTTGATAAAAAAAACTATATTTTTATCGATTCTTCTAAGGTTACTTTTATCGATACTTTTGATACTTCCTTCGATAGACATCCCTAGCTCCGACTGGCGTTGATTGGCCTGCATTTAAAGTGTTTTCAATGTAAATCTATGTAAATACATGTTGCCAAATAAAAGAGCAACTGTTTGGGGTCTATGGGCCCTGTGACCAGAGTGGAAAGTCTCGTCTGGATAAATTGTATAGCCATATTTATTCGGTGCGCCGTTGTGCCATGTGTGCACACTTTCGACACGAGGCCCAAAGACTTTAATCCAGTCCGGGCTCCCTAAGCTCTGCGGCATATTTATGCACATTTTTTCGGTCTGTATTTTGCTTTCATTTCTGCACTTGTTTTTGCTTCTCGATTTTTCTCTATTTCCCCCCGCCACCCGAATTTTTCCCCGGGCTCTTGCCTTATTTTGCTTGAAAAACCTTGAATCGGTCGCATTGATTGGGTGTCCTTGCGTTTGATTGTTCTATATTTGTGTTGTGTTTATATTTGTTTTCCGTAGCACTTGCTGCATTTAATGGCATGAAAATTAATTTGACATTTAATAGTCCACTCGCCTCTTTTTTTTTCAACATTATGTATTCATTGTTTTTATGTTTGCGTTGAGTAAACAAATGGTGTATTTTATATATACACATATATTGTTTTCACGTGTCACGTGTCGCCTACCAATGATGCCTGCATATTATAATTATGAATTGTGCAAATAAATCAGCCAAGTAGCGACCTGTTAATGTGTTAATAATTGCCAACCAAGAGCTGTACAATGTGTTAATGTCTTGTTATTCCATTCACCTGTGTATACGTGTGTTGGCTTACACGGCGTATGCTTGATAAATTCATTATTAAAGGTAAGTGGGGTAAAAGAATTTACCGAAAGATTGGATTTATTTGCAGCCAATATACATATTTATTTTAAAATTTTATTATTCCCTTATGTCATTATTTTATTTTTGCGATTTAATTCCTTTTTCATTTTTGCTCTGATGGAATGCTTTTATTTTTAATCTCTTCTCAAAGATTTTTCCGAAGTTTAATTAAATATTTCATAGTAAATAATATTCTTTTTTTAAATATCAATTACCAATCTTATTTTTGCAATAATCTCTTTATTTCAGTAAAAATTAATAATCTCAATTGAATGTTCGGGTTCTACATTATCTGCCTGAATCCCTCTTGCCCATCCTTACAACTTGGCATTGACATGGATGGCCAGGACACCATCATCCTCGGAGTTACCAAGATAAATGGATGCACGTCCATCGGAGCCCACGGTCACCGTCTTGCCGGTGCAGGAGGAGCCGTTCTTGGTGCCAGAGATGACGTCACAGTAGGTTCCAGCGGGCAGGCCCGTCTGCAGGGAGCTGTTCAGGTCGTAGTTGTCGTTGTTGAAGGCCACGAAGCCACGGCTGCCGCGGCTGAAGGCGATCTGGTTGCTGCCGTTGTCCCACCAGTTCTGGATGGCGTCGGAGCCGACGGCGTTCCTGAAGGCCACCATGTTGTAGATCTGGCGCCAGCGGTGCTCGCACACCCAGCCGCCGCTGCAGGAGTTGTCGCTGTTGAAGCTCGGCGAGGCGATGTTGTGGCCGTCGGTGGTGGGCGGGCCCTGGTCCGTGTCCGAGAACGAGAAGGAGGACATCACGCGCGGCGTGCCGAATGGGTGCGCCAGCATGAAGGCGGAGGCCATCTTGTACTGCTTGGGCACCTTGTAGGTGAGTACGTCGGCGCCACCGGCTCCATGTCCGCGCTGGTTGTCATGGTTGTCGACGAAGACGAGCGAGCGGTCGGAGGCGGCGAAGCCCCAGGCGGTGCCCCAGTTGGACAGGTACCGCAGCTGGTTCTTGCCACGGAAGGCCTTGCCGATGGAGTCGGAGTGCCGGAACTCGGTTATGGCGCCCAGGCCAGTGTACTCCGACTTGCTGATGGCCTCGCCACCCATGTCGATCACCTCCTGCACGATGTAAGCCTTGGAGCCCGAGGAAAAGCCGTGGTCGGTGTTCAGGTTCTTCAAGCGGCCATAGATGACGCCCAGATCAGCGGGCCACATGTGCTTGGCGGCGTCCACGCGGAATCCAGCCACTCCCCAGGTCAATGAGGTGATTCAGGAACTCGGCAATCTTTTCCTGAACATAGGAGTTGCCCTGGTTGAGGTCGCGGAGACCCACCAGCTCGCAGTTGCGCACTTGGTTGGCATCGTTGTAGTTGCTGATGGCGCAGGTCGGGTTGAAGTCCAGCGAGGAGTAGGGCACTCCGGGGTAGCTCTTGCTGCTGGGACTGGCAGTGCTGCCGCCCGTGCCGTAGGTGCCTCCGTTGGCAGCCATGTGGTTGAAGATCACGTCCACGTAGATGCGCACGCCGACGGCGTTGCAGCGTCGGGTCATGCTGGCGAACTGCTCCTCGTTGCCGGAACGGGTCACGAGCTTGTAGGAGATGGGCTGGTAGCGCTCCCACCAGGGGCGGCTGTCCTTCACGGCATTCTCGTTGACGGGGGAGACCTAATGGGGGCTTAAGAGTTAGAAATCCCTTCTAGAGTAGAGCCAGAGCGATCTTATCCCTACCTGCACTCCAGCAAAGCCATTGGGGCCCAGGAAGTTCTCGCACTCGGCGGCAATGTCGTCCCACTTCCACTCGAATAGGTGCACCATGCCGCTGCGTCCTGAGGCGTAGTTGGTGTCGAACTGGGCGCTGGCCAGCGCCAGGATGGCGAGGCACACTATGCTCTTGGCCAAAAACATGCTGATTCTAGGTGGAACTCAAGTTTCACTCTGATTTGGCTGGATCCGCTGCAGCTGCTTATATAGGGGGTCCATGTCTCATAGGCTTCGTGGGGACTTTTCGGAATCTTATCGTCCCCCGCAATGGGGCTCTAATCAGGACGGTCTGACTGGAGCTGGCATTCCTGATCGGATGATTAGCTAAGCACGCCATTATTGTTATTTCTGTATCACTAATAAATTGGGATAGTGCATTCCGCTGATATCTGCCGATGTTAGGGATTTATGGCCCACTCGAGTCGCATGCTGCTGGAGGCGTGATCAATGTGAACTATGGCCATAAGGTTTTGGTGTTTCTACTTTGATTTATTTATTCAGACGTGTCATTATGAGACATCGAAGTTCAAAGAATTATTTTATAAAGGTCTAAGAAATCTGTCAAATTATCATGAGGAAATAAAGCTATACTTTTATTATTTGTATTAAAAATATCACATGTTTACATATTATAGTTTGCTTTTTAGTTGCCATCCTTTAACCGCCAAATAATTATAGAAAATATTGGTTATAGATAAATTGTACTCATACTTATTCTTACCATAGATCAATTATTAATTAATTATTATTAATAAATATTTAAGGATTTATTGTTTCTGCAGTTGAATTAAAAAAATCAGAGACATCTGTTAATAACATCTCTAAATCTTTTCATCAAAAGAAGATAAAAGCTTTCAGTATCTTTACTAAAAAAAAAAAAGTTGATTAATGTGTGGGTTTTTGTTTTTTTTCGAGTGATTTACAATTTAAGTATTGGTTTAATGTTTGTATATGTTTTCACACTCCATTAATTAATAAGAAAAATAATTACAAAGAACCTATTTCATGAATCATATATTTTATAGATGTCAAATCGAGTGGCTCTTAGCACTGAACATAAACTTTTTATTGAGTACTTGGAGTTTAATTTTTTGTTTATAGATTTATCAACTATAAAATAAGATATGATAAGTACTATATGGCTTTAAATAGATTTAAACAATATTCTTTTTTATACCCTTGCAGGGTATTATAATTTCAGTCAGAAGTTTGCAACGCAGTGAAGGAGACCTTTCCGACCCTATAAAGTATATATATTCTTGATCAGCATCAACAGCCAAGTCGATCTAGCCATGTCCGTCTGTCCGTCTGTCCGTCTGTCCGTCTGTCCGTTTCTACGCAAACTAGTCCCTCAGTTTTAAAGCTATCTGAATGAAACTTTGCATATAGTCTTCTATATACTCTCACTGCTATATATGTCGGAACGGGCCGGATCGGACGACTATATCATATAGCTCCCATACAAATGATCGATAAATTTTTAGAAAAAATTTATAACTTGGCTGTTTATCAACATTTTTAAACCATTTTTTAGATATGGTCATTTTATATTATTCAAGAATTTCGGTAAAAATTTCATGAAAATCGGACGACTATATCTTATAGCTGCCATAGGAACGATCGGGAAATTAATAGAAAAAACATTATAACTTCGTTGTTTTTCAACCTATTTTTATCTACTCTGAGATATAAGCTTATTTTATTAGTTCAGAATTTTCGTATGAATTTTATGAAAATCGGACAACTATATCATATAGCTGCCATATAAACCGATCGGTAGATGGAGAGAAAATGTTAAACTGGGAATGTGAAACTGTAACTGTCAAACTCTAAACAATAAGTATAGGTAAAATTTAATGAAATAATATCTGCAAGGGTATACAAACTTCGGCGTGCCGAAGTTAGCTTCCTTTCTTGTTTTTTAATTGTTCACTAAAGTAACTTCTTAATTTTAAAGATTTGTTGGTAACTTTAATGGAAAGTATATAACTTTATTACCATTAAAGAAGCATTTTTTCACTCAGTTCTTCAGTTATATGCATTTGCTAAATCTTTATCTAAAACTAGCATTAAACGGAAATGTACTTTTTCAATATTTTTCCACACTAATTTATTAATTTTCTTACATAATTAAATTTAAACACACTTAGCTATAAATCTAAAACGTTTATAATTTGCAACTGCAAGTCAAATTCGAAAGGTACTTCCTACAAGTATAGCAATATTACGTATACGTAATATTTACCCACTCAGGGTTTGTGTCTTGGCTTCCAAACAAAGCTTTAACTAAGTAACTTTAACCATGTAAGTTAGAGACTAAACCTTTTCCTAACAAATTTGTCTTGGCTAGCAAAGTCAAGCCAAATCTTTATAAATAAATAAATATCATCAAAAGAACCTTAAAAAACATTTAATATATTTTTGTATAGACCTTTCAAGTAAATCTAGCGCCTCTTTCAACTTGAAGTAAATTAATTTTAACTTAAAAAATGTTAAGTAGACCCTGACAACCCTAAGCCATAACCAAGGAGCCCCAAAAGCACCCACAAACGACACAGCCGAAGCAAAAGCTCTCAATTTGTCGTCAATTTTCCGGCACAACAGACGCAACATTTGCCGAGAGCAACGCGCGAGCTGTGTAGAGCGGAAAGTAAATTCCAGTGAAACCAATGAAAACTTTTTAAAAACACTACCAAACACAACAAGAAATGAAAATTCTCCACCAAACTAATCCAATTAAAAGCGAAAAGGCTCAATGAAAAGCGGTGAAAAACAATGCAAGCTAGCCAAGGAGGAAATAATAATAATAATAATGCCAAGTGACGAGTGACGCGGAAAGAGGGAACTCTAAAATGAACTGAACTGAACTGATGTGAAGAAGGGACATATATATTTTTGTGCAGGAAAACTAAGTGCAATAAACTGTGAATAATCCCAGAATTAGCGGCATCACGATGTGTGTGTGCAACGCGGGGGAAAGTGGGGCTGGAAAGTGGTTTCGGTTCCATTCTATTGCTGAATGTCCAGATTTATATTATGCAAATTAATTTCAATTGGTTTGCACTCTGGACTCTGCGCCAGTGTTTATTGTTGCTGCTGCTTCTGTTGCTGCTTTCCTCCTGCTGCTGTTGCTGCTGTTTTTGTTGCTGCTGCTGCTGCTCCGTAGTCGTAGTAGTAGTACTATCACTGTCACTACTATCACTACTACAAGCTACCAACTACAATCCACAAATGTTTTCGTATACACAAATTCGGCCAGGCTATGCTTGTGGAGTTTTCCCCAGACCCACGCTAACATTTCCATTTACCATTTCCACTAACATTTATTTACTGTAACAAAAGCAAAATATTAAAGTTTTATTTGGAGAGGAAAATCAGGTACTATAATATTATAAATCAAAGGATGGGGGTTTAGTTCGAAAGCAGAGAAAATATCTACAAGGTGCTTGAATGTTTCAAGAGCAGTTTTTTTTAGCTTTTTAGAAGTTCAGATTTTAAACTGTTATTATAAATAAATATATATAAATCTCTTTCGTATTTAACCCTTTTTTAAAGAGACTCATTTTCTTTCTGTGCAACTGCCACACATCACAAGATCTGAAACTACATAACAAGTGTGTGTGCATGTGCGTGTCTCGGCTTGATTTACCGGCTTTTCTCGGCTTAAAACTATGAAAATTGTTTCCCAAGAATTTTTTAATCATACAAGAGAATGTGTAACGTGCAAAAACCCAAAAAGGACGAGCCAAACTACAAGCTTTACGTGGAAAAGTAATTAAAAAGCAAGCCAAAGGGGCGGGGGAAACTCTCGGAGGAGCTGAGTTGAGTATCCGGAAACTATTCCATAGAGAGATGCCAATTACAAGTTGTTTAAGTTCACCTTTAAGTGGGTAATTTTACCTTAACTAGTTCAGTCTGCCAGTTGAGAGAGCTCTGGGAAATGTTTGACATTTAATTTAAGTCGTGTCAAGTTAGTTCCTTTAACTAAAGGCATTTATCAAAAGTCAACAAACAGCTAAGAAAATATATAAAATGTATATAAAAGTAATTTAAGCTGTTACTTTTCCTTTATTCCCATTTTAATGGCAAACTCCATATTTATGAGTTTTTAAATTAACCACAGAAAATGTTTTAACAAAAAGCCGAATTTTAATCAAGATAAAAGCCCAGTGCTGCTCTCATCGCATACAAAATGCAACTTGCTTATTAAAAGCCGACCAAAAGTATAAATAAACTCACTGCCTGACAATAATATCAATTACAATACCGTCGACCGGCAGAGTCAGTTTCCGACAATGGTGAAGACCTGCACGAGACTCTCATTAAAAACCACACAAGCCCTCGCACATACACCACACACAACACACAACACACACAGAGCACTCCAAAAGAAGCCAAAAATACCAAGTTGTAACAAGGCAAGACAACATTTATATAGTGCAGCCGTCAGTCGGCTGATGCTAAAGCTCAGCCACAGAAACCTCGTCAGCACAATCACAGCAATTGCTGCCAGTCTCTGGATGTGTCACTGAGAGGAAATTTGGGGGATAATCTGAATATTTTTATATATTAAATGAGTAACAAGATGATATAGAATTTTATTTAAAAAATATATTAGTTGGCATGTATTTATAAATTAATTAACTAATAAATATAAAGGCAAGCCATCGATTTCGAGCTTCAAAAAATCTCAAACAGGGACCAACAAAAATATACAATTTAATATTTCAAACATAAAAATGTTCTACAGAATTTATTTAAAAATTACACTTAAAAGACTTACAAAATAAATTGATAATCAATAAATTAAGAATAAATACCTTTTTGCCAAATGGTTCATCCCAAAAGTATGCTATTATTTTTTACATACCTATCTTCGGGTATTTCATTTTCAAAAAATATATTTATTTATTTAAGATTTAACAAATTTCAAAGATTATTATTAATATTTTCTTGCCGTGTCAGAATGAAAATGGGAACGGGATTGGACTCAGATCTGAGGCTGGGACTTATGCTGGAACTGATGCTGGCACAGGGACTGTGCTGGCGGACCAGCGACTCGGACTGGGACAGATGGGTGGGGTGTTCCGCAATAATGGGAAACCACTGACAGACCAGACAGCCAGTAGTCCATGTGAGCCGGGACAGCGGCGGTAGTTGCACAATTTTGCACAAAAGCCAAAGCATAATCATGAATAATGAGCGTTTGTGATAAGTGATAAATGCCCGGTGGCAAATGCACAGGGAATATGAATTTGAATGCGAATGAAAATTGTTTTCGTTTGGGGTTTTGGATCTGGAAAAGCTTTTACTTCAATCAATTAAATTTCTTAAATTTTTGTTAAAGGTTTAATTTGCTTTTAAATTTCCTTAAAAATTAGTTTATTCCGATGAATAGCTAGATAACCAATTTTAAGCCTTATTTCTTAATATAAATTAACATTTGCGCATTCTTCAGCATTTTGAATATCCTCAAAAATAACTTAAATCTCTTGAAACCCTATTTGAAATAATTTGTTTAAGTCTTACAGTAAACCTTAATATTTTGGCCCTCCAACAACCTCCTGCCCCTGTTTCCAGGGTACAAATCAACGTTGCAATTTAAACAGGTTTTCTCTCAGGAACTGAGGCTGCGGCACCGGCATCCCATTTCCCATTGGGGCTGCCGTTGAGACCGTTTTTCACCCGCCTTTTGGCTCGACTCGTCGTCACTGGTCCCGGTCTTGGGAATCCGCTCCAGGCCTCCAGTGGGGCGGCGACTTGACCACCCCGGGACTCGGCCTCAGTTCGACTCGGGAATCGGTGCGGTTCAGTTCGCAAATGCGCGCCAAAGGTGTTAAATTAGTTTCTTTAAGATTATTTTGTTTAAACCAATAGTGATCTCTTGGAGCTTCCGGGAACTGAATTTTGTGGAAATTTTTTCTTATTTATAATTTGATTGAGAGCTTTTCTTTTACTCAATCCCACTAGTTTCGTTTGCCGCAAAGTGCTTGGTTTTGCGCCGTAGTTTTGTCAACTTTAATTGAAATTAATTCACTTTCTTCACACAGCATCTGACGGATTAGTGTGTGTGCGAGTGTATCTGTATCTCTGAGTGTGTATCTGTATCGGTGTGCACATGCCGCTGAGTGAGGAGCACAGCCTTGTATGCGATCAGATTTGAGCGCAGAGGTCAGCAAATAAACAAATTGTCGCACATTATTATATGGTTTTTTATTGTTCAGTTGCGATTTATATGTATATACCACCTATATGTACATATATGCAAAATGGGATAGGTGGGGAGACGGACAGCATCACGACTAGAAAACTGTGCAAAATTCAACGATTCCCCGATACCCATCTTGTTTGCATCTCATTGCCATAGTGCCGCCCTTTTTGGGTTTTCCCCAGACTGCATTTCCAATCACCGAAATGCAAATGTTCCACACAGAAAGAAAATTTGATTAAAATAATATGAATTTGAAGGGAAATTAATGTAATAAACAAAAATGAAGATGGGCAGGGAGATTACGTGAAGGAAAGAAACTTAGAAACTATATTTACAATATTATTTTTCACTGTGCAAGCTATTCTAGACAACTCAATCTTCTTTATATATATATATATATATATATATATATATATATATATATATTTTTATATAAATTTGTATTTATAGAGGGGCGAAAATGCGATACGATTTGCATACAAAACACTCGACAGGCCACGGGCAACGCCTGGAATTTTAACCAGTTAAAAGTTGGCAAAAACTAATCAAAATCACTCTCCAACCCCCACTATTCTTCCCCCCTCTCAGTACTTGACAATTATGTAAAACCCGAGAAACACGCTCGCAAACAATAAAACAAACAAAAAATGAATAAACTCGTGGTACCGTAAAACTAACCAAAAACACTGAGAAAACTAAGAAAACTGAGGCAAGTGGCAAGTGGAAAGAGAACTCTCGAAGAATAAGAAAAGCAGTAAACAAACAAAAACTCTAGCCAAGTGCTAGCAATTAAAAATAATTTACAATCTGCTAACGAACAAGAGCCAGCGGGGGAGAGAGGGAGCAGGGAACCCAAAACTCGTAACTCGAATGTCGCGCAAAATGTTGCAAGTGCCGGTGGCAACGCTCGTGTTGCTGTCGCTGCTGCAGATTGCCGATGTTGCTGCCGCCGCGGATGCACTGGGAGCAGATGCAGCGGCAACGGGAGCGGGAGCAATGACAACCGGAATCGATCCGAGTCTGAAGAACGCCCGGCTGATTGAGGCCAAAGTGTTGCCCGACCTGGCCAACCTGCAGCGCAGTCAGGAGGATGAAAAGTGGCAGCAGGTCTTCCGCTTCATCGATGACGGCTTTCCCGTCCTCGAACTCTACGGCTACAAGCCAAAATCGGGTGAGTACTGTCAATGGGCTTTGGAAAAGCACTCAAGGAGATAAGAGGAAAATATTTTAGGAAGGAAAATTGAAAAAAAAATTATAAAAACGAATTCATAAGGTAATAAATTTATAAGAAAACAAAATTATTCGAATTAAAGTTTAAAATTGAGTTGTGAAATAAAAAAAATTTTCTTTGGAATAATATATTAAAGAAGTCTAAAGAATCCTTTACTTAAATAACTTTATTTGGATTGAATACTTATATTAATTATATAATTCGTTTTTATTTTGTCATTTATCTACAGCATTAAAAAATGTATGTTCTTACCAAATTAAAGGATGTCGTGTCTCTATTTAAGGCATAATTAAATATTTTAAAATATTATAGCAAATATTAGCAAATAATAAAGTAAAAAATCTTAATATTTAATGCACTAAGCCTAATTAACTTAATATAAAATTATATATGAACATATTACAAAAGCTTCTTATACTTGACACTCTCAAAGTGCTTCAGCCTGGCAGTGCTATTCAATAAAATACTATTGGTAAACATGGCAAAAACCCAAGCATGTCTTAAAGTTTCTAAAATAAGTCCTCGATCGAGTTTAAAAATATTAAGTTCAGTTTTATCGATAGTTACTTGCATTACCTTTTTAAAAAGCCAAAAGACTTGGAGCTGAAAAAAATTTAAAAAAAAATAACATTTACTTTTTTTTTAAGTTTAAAAATCTTCCTCACCTTAGCCTGCTTCCTGGAGTCTGCTTTAAATACTCCAAACTCCCGTTCTATAAACCTTATTTTCGCAATCACATGCAAAAAGGTTAAGGGAAATACGGAAGACGTGAGAATACATTTTCCCATATGCCCCACAGACTGCATATCGTAAAGGTACAAATGAAAGCCACCTATGAAGAGCAAAATGTTCTCCAGCACCAATGTCCAGACAATGGGCCTCACCAGGAAATCCAGATTTTGCCTGAGCCTGATCAGGTGTCGATAGTAGTCCAGGAGTTGTAAAGATCTCCTCCTTCTCCTTCCATTGTTCACTTGAATATCGTAGCAGGCATAGAGGATCAGTATGCCCAGGTGACCAACCACTGAGAGCAAAAAAGGCTGAAGGCATATGAAGAGCACTGCCGAATCCCTTATAATAATATCCATTTTTGAGCCAAAGCCAACAAACTTAAATTTGGACTTAATCAGTGGGGCCACCGAGGCGGTAAAAACTCGGAAGGTTTGAATAAAGAAGAACCACCAATTGATGATGGGTTCCCGGCCACAAATTCTTTCATAGCCGTGATAGATCCCCACAAAGCCATTGAGCAGCTGCCTTATCTGAAGGCGATGGTATCTGTTCATAAATAAATATGATAAATATTTAATAACTACGTTATTTTATTTAAACTCCACCTGTAGTAATAGGCCATGGCCAAGCTAATGACATAGTTCTGGTGTATGACAACGGCTAGACCAATTCCATAAATGAGATTCAAGGGTCTTTCACTGCCCGGTGTGGCATCCGTGAGTCCACGTAGAAACTCCATTACCCAGTATATAAAGTGCAGCACAAAAGTCACCACTAGCCAGGGTCGTAGCCAGAATCTGTGCATGGCCCGAACCAATAGATGAGTCCTTCCATTCAGCCGGAATTCCCGCCTGTTCTCCGCATAGCTGTAGATGTTGCAACCCGAGAGCGTTGTCAGCACTTGCAGCAGCTGCAAAATGCCAGTTAGACAGGACATGGCGCAACTCATGACTCCCAAAAAAGCAGCTTCAGACAGCAGCTCTGGAAAACTCCGAAAATTGAGGGGAAAATGGAAATGTGTGACGTTGATAAATGACTTCGTTTAGCTGTCCAAATGTTGATCATAAACAAAAAATGTTCAATTTGGACATTAGAAGAGGGGAAAGAAGTTAGGGAAACGTCTCTCCGTTTCCCCTACGTTTTCACTACGAAGTTGATTACAAAAGTTACAAAAGTATTGATAAATAATTCATTGGAATAATTTATAAATCTTTTATTTAAATAAAATAATAATAGAACAATAAATAATTAATCGATTTAAAAAATGGATTATAAGATAACCTCTAAGACTTTTTTATTGCATATTAAATATATTTAGCTTGTCTATGCAATAAAAAACAATATTAATTAACCCCATGGGAGTTAGAGGCCTCTTGAGAATATGTCCTAGGATTTATATAAAATAATATAATGTATTAAAATAAATATTTTTACCATACTTAAACCATAAAGTAAATATTTAGTATATTTTTTGTTGAACAAAATTAATTAATAAATTCCAATCAGTCTTAAAAAATATTAAATTTATTCATTTTAATTATAAGTTCATAAAAATGAAAAGAATACATTTCCATTTCATATAATATAAATTAACTGATGCAACTATTTTTTCTCTACCGAGAAAGCAATCAGAAAAGATAACCACTCGATATGCATGCAACTCGACAAAAAAATATGATAAATTAATTGACAGAATAACGAAGCAAAAAAAACTATCGGGAGGTGGAAATGGCTTACTCAACAGAAAAATAAATATTCAATAGATTAAAAGCCAGTTAAAAACAAATAAAATTCAATATTCGTTCCTGCCAGGCATCATATTTGAGAAATTACAAAACCAGACATAAATTCAGTTAAAGCATTTGAAAATAGCAGCTGACACACCTCCCCAGATGCGTGTGGCATAATAATAACATAATCTAATTGAAGCCACAAAATTCCCCAGACTACACACCTTCATATTAGCCTGTGTGTGTGTACACCCGAAAGTTAATTACTTGATTAACATGCAGACAGGTGGGGAATCGCGGTAGGGAGCCAGGTGAGCTGAGCGCCGCACTTGGTCGTAAATGAAACGAAAACAGTTTACATTTTTAAGTGAGCAATTCCCCGAAGTAACTCTGTCCATCTCTCTCCCTCTTTGCATGTGTCCGCGATTCCGGCGGACATTCCGGCAGACATTCCGTACACATTGATTGTGCCCAAAATCGATGTGCGGAGCATCGAGAAGCCGCGGCTAAAGGAGTTCATGTTGGAGCATTTGGTGCCCGGAAAGATCTTCGACAGCTATAGTGCGGTCAGCGGCAAGGAAGAGCCGGAGGAGTCCTTCGGCAATGGGAACGGACACAAAATCGTTTTCCGTAAATTGGAAAAATCCCACAACAATGTTTGGCTACTCAATGGACAGCAGATACTCCACAAGCTGCGTATCAATGAGAACCTGATGGCCATTGCAATTGATGGTTATTTGGGTGATAGGAAGTCGCCCTACTCCAAGCGCAATATACAGGAAACGAACAAGTGAGTAGTCCTGAGTAAGACCACCCGTGGCCCATTCCTGCACAGTGGGATGGAATTCAATTTTAAATTTTAAATAAATAGTTTTTTTATTCACAGCCAGTTTTTGCCGATTTTTTAAAATGCATCTGCTATAAAAACCTCATAATTTGCATTCTAAAAAAAAGCTCTAATTTTTTTGTAATTATTTATTTTTTTATTTTTTGACAAATATCTTACCCTTGAATATTTTTATAAGCAATTATCTTAATTTTTCTCTTTTTTAATGATACTATTTGTATTATTTATATTGCTTGAGTGTTATTTTTATCTTAATTTCCCACTGTAAAGGACTTTTGCTAAGTTCCTAGTCCTAGTTTGTTTGCGGTCAAAAGTGCACTCATGCGAAATTTATCAGGCGGCAAACAAAGTTTTTGCTGGTCCAACTTTTTGCACACACATACACACTTTAACACACATCCGCACACACTTTAGGATTTTCCAGTTCCGCACTTTTGACCGAGGCCATCGAGCGAACCTCAATCTCAATCTATGGGAGAAGAGCCACCTTGCCAACACTCCTCCAGCCTCCCCATCTCATCATTCCCATTATCATCATCTGCATATTTTTATAACATAAAAGAAAATTTCAATAGTTTCATCCACTTTTTTTCATCTGAGAAAATTAGGTTATAAAGCGTCGGATTACCGATAGAAATAGTTTCCATTAAAGAAAGACAATTTAAAAGAGATGATTTTACATTGGTGTCCTTTTTTTACGGATTTAATCACAGTAAATATTAGCTAAAACTATTTCAAGACCCTTATGATTTCCCTCAAAAATGTTAATACAAACTACTTCATCCTTTTGTTTTCACCTTCAATCCCCCCAATTTTCTTTAACGACCTTCCAATACCAAACTAATTTTTCTCCCTGCATTTTCCAGCCGCAACAACGACCCTCAGCCTCTGGAGCAACCGAACATTACGAATGCACACGCCAAGGTGGAGCCCATTATCAAAGAGTCGAAGGCCAGTCCACTGATGTCGTTCCTGGCCAACATGAAGACGGGCACCAAGGTATTCCAGCACTTTCTCTCCAAGAGCAACCTGACCCGCATCATGGACGACAATGCGTACACGGTGCTGATACCCTCGGACAACGCCTTCCAGCGCTGGCATCCCATCGACTGGGGCTTCTATCCATTCTCCGTGCCGGAGTTCACGGAGTCGGTGCTGCGCAATCACTTTCTGCCCATGCAGCGACCCCTGCGGCTCTCCGATGTCCGGAATGTGGACGAGCTCGTTGTCCACACCATGGGTGGCGAGGATGTCGTCTTCCATGGCCAACGTAAGTGGCTTCATTCCCATAAATTTACGGCCCAAAAAAAAGAAATTCAATTTATGAGTATGTTTTCGTTTTCCTCTCACACACGGCAGCCACACCCACGGTGAATAATGTGAGCATTATGTCCGACTACAACCTCTCCAATGGCAATCAGGTGTTCATTATATCGGAGGTGCTCTTCGTTACAGAGGCTGTGGTCTCCAAATTGCACCAGGTAAGTCCTGGGTTGGGTCTATAATCAAAGTAGAGAAATATCCTAAAAATAATAGCTTAATTAATTTTTTAATTGTTCTCTATACTCTCCTTTTTAGATGCACAAGGACAAGGAGACACCTCCTTTGCTGGCCTTTCCCTGGTTTGGCGCCCAATTCCTGTCCCATTCCTTTTTGGCCTTGGAAAGAGATCCCAGATTTTCCCAGATAACCAGGTAAATATTAAGATAATCTTCAGTATATTATTTAAATTAAATATTTAACCTTTAATCAAAAGATATCTAAACAATGCTGAGATTGCTCCTCACATTTCGGGAGCCAACTACACGTTCTTTGTGCCCGAAGATCGGGCCTTCGAGAAGCTGGGTTTCGATAAATTATCCGATGAGGTTATGGTAAGTATTCAAAAATAATTTTACTATAAAATTTAAACTAATAAATCTTTTCTAACCAGGCCTCTCAGCGCGGCGTCAAAATGCTACTCAATCACTTTGTCAAAGGTCGACTCTACAATCGCGATTTGCGGGATAATGAGGTCTTTGAGACCATTGGTGGTGGCCACATAAAGATCACCCGCAATCCGGGCAGCAACTATACCAGCGTTAATAATGCCCAGATCACTGAGAGCGAGGTGTTCGTCTATAACCTGGGCACCATGTACTATCTGGATGACATACTGTACTCTCACATGCTGCGGGATTTCGTTAGCAAATCCACAAAGACGAGATCCAATCGGCACGGCAGTGACTCTGGCGGAGGTTCAAGGAGCACCTCCCGTCCCAGCGACGTGGAGATCGTACCAAACGAGTTCGAGAGCGAGCACAATGGCGGCGACTATGCCATCCATGGCGATGACGAGGACTTTGAGGATGAGATCATCACGCCCAAGGCGCTGCCCGTCCAGATCTACGAGTTGCCCAAGTAGAGAGCGATAACTAGATCTTGAACTTGATAGGTGGCTTTATGTCAGGATATATATCGAGCTGTAGGAGGCGAAAATAACATAGGAGAGACTTGATTTGGGAATTTTAATAAAATATTTTAGTTAATTTCAAAGAACTAAACAAATCAGAACTTTAAATAATTATTTTCTTTTGAAAAAGTAGAAATTCTCCAAGGAATAAGTGTTATTTTTCCAAGAAAGCAGACAGCCGATATGTGTATAATTTTATTTGAAATTGATCTGGGTTTAAAAAAATGAAAGGAATCGAGAAAGGGAGACGCTTAAAGCGTTCATTTTGTATAGTTCTGGGCTACTTTTTTAAAGCATTTCTCTAGTTTAGTTCTTAGTTGTTCGTGTATATTTTAAGTTTAGCATTGAACGAGGCGAGGAGAAACGAAGTACGAACGAGTATACTAAAAAAACAACATCAGAATCAACCGAAACAACCGAAAAATGAGCAACAAATATATATGAAACCTAATCCTAAAGAACTTATCAGCGATTTAGACAAAAAAATAAAAAACAAAAAAGAAAAGCTTGTAGACACCAAAAATTTACTACAAATATTTAACGCGAGTAATTCCGTAATATTCGACTTAGAGGCAGGATGAAAATTTTCAAAAAAGAAAATATTAAAAAACATATACGTATACTATTTGCAAATTCAATTAGCGCTCATCATCAACCGTGTTTATGCTTTTTTGAGTCTATCCATGTGAGGGGAGCAGGCATATAGCGAAAACATATCGGCTACACATCGGTGGAAATTAATATCGGAGCGAGGACCGAGGAGCAAGGAGCGAGGCCAGATATATCTATAAATACTCGTACTATTACGAACAGATATTGTATTTTTTAATTTAATTATATTGATATTGATATATGATATTTAATGTGTATCTGTGTATATGAACAACAAAAGCAATGAGAACGGAGCATCCAATTTTATAATAGTTTGTTAAAATAAAAACAAAAACCTTCCACAAAAAAACCACCAAGAACTCTATGTTTCGTTGAACTATTTTATTATGAATTAGTTAAACTCAATACACATGTAAGTATGCTTTATATAATTGGAGTATTTGTATGTATATGTAAAGACAATATAAGAATGTATGGGCGTTACGCATCTTATTCTTATAAATTATGAGCGTAAAGCATATTTTTATTACAAAGGTTTCTCCTAACTTTACCCGCATTAAGCATTTTTTTTTCTTATACTAAGCTTTTTATAAGAATTCCGGCTCGTTACGCATCTTATTCTTATATTGCCCTTGCCATATGCTTATGTAAATAATACCTGTAACACTAATTGACTTAAACAATAACGATTTCTAATGCCGAGTTTGTTAAACATTATTGTTTTTTCGATTTAAAGCCTTGGCTTAACTTAACACACACACACAAAAGTAAGCAAACAAATGCCAAAAAAAAAAATATATATATATAGTATACGATGAGTAACCCTAAAGAGTAATGGAAAGGCAGTGTGGAACACAGGAAATGGAACTATATATGTATATATATCGTATCAAATGCATATTGCTTATGGTTACGGAGAGACAGAGATAGTGTGATATGATATGGCTCTTAGGTGTAACTCGATATAACTTCGACATGAACATGACACACAAAAATTCTTGTTTCAACTACAACTATGGTGAATGCAACATATAGAATTAATATTCGAATTCTTGGTTTTTCTTTTCTTTTAATATAATATCAAATTCCACAATAAAGTGGTTTTTAAAATGTAAAATTTGCTCGATTTCTGCTTGCTATTTCCTGTTTTGGTCGTTTTGTATATTTTTTGCTGAGATCCAATTTTGAAGAGAGAACCGAGCAGCGTTTAATTGATAAGGTTTTGCTAGGCAGGCCATAGAAATAGCTGTGATTTTGAAATCAATTGTAAAAGGTGACTGAAAGAATACTATAAAATGTTTGAACTAATTTTGGTTCATAAAAAATGTTATTACGTAATTTGGAAAACCTTTTTTAATTGATTTAAAAACCAGTGCTATTTTGGAAGGTTTATAATATTTTTTCCTGCTTAAATTAAAGTTAATTAAACACTGCTTGCTGCCAAAAGTAACTAAGGTGTGTCTCCTTCTTGCTTTTTTAATCATTTTGCTCATTCACATGGCTGTTTGTGCTGTTTGAAGTATTACTTTGGCCGCCAATGGCCTCTGCCTCATTATCACTCAAGTTCACAGGATCTACGGGCTCGGCATCCAACTCCAGAGGAGGCATTTCCACTACAGCTCCTCCCACAGCTCCTTCTAGCTCTTCCGCAGCCGCCACTGACTTGGGCTTAAAGCTGTTGTTCTCCGCATTCAATTTGTAGTTCTTGAAGGGATCTGGTGATCCTGGTGGCGGTGGCTTCAATTGAGCTTGGGCTGCCTGAGCTGCCTGACGCTGGAGACGCCTCTGCTGGTTACTAAATGTGGGACTCTCCGATCTGGCTCTCTGGAGCATGGGACGCTGCTGCTGCTGTTGCTGGTGATAAATGGGATTCGCATCGTAGTCACGGGATCTGCCAAATTCAAAGCCATTTTGCCACTGAACATGGACATTCTCATACGAGGGATCTTCGTAACGATAGTTGGCAGCCGCCACTGCATTTTGGTTCCTTCTCTCCCCACCATTCATCCTCAGTCGACTCAAGGTGCTGTGCAGCGGTCGACCTGTGGCATCCCGGCGCATGGTGGATGCAGTAGCTCCCCCTGCCGTACAAGCTCCCCCAGAGCAGGAACTCTGGAAGCGCACCATATCCTGGGGTAGGCCAACACCCAGGCGGGGAGTTCCATATGGATTCGACATCTGCGAGGCTACCGAGGCGGTGTCGCAGCTGACACAGTCGCGGGAAAACATAAAGTTAAAGTCGATTACCTTGCAATCCGGCCCTTGGCCAATCCACAAGGGAAGCCACTTGTTAACTAGCAGCCACTGGAGACTTGACTTGGAGATGCGATTCAAGGTGCCATCGCCGGAAGAACTGGAGGAACGTGCTGCTGCTCCCGTTGAGCTTTTCTTGGCCAAAGTTCCTGCTTTGCCTGATCCTGCTCCTGCTGCTCCAGTTGTTGATGAACTTTTATCGGTTGCAGCTGAGGTGGCCAAAGTATTTCCAGATGTTGCTCCTCCTGCTGTTGCTTCCTTGGCTGTCTTACTGGTGGCTATCTTTACTTTGGGTATGGCTCCCGTTGGCGGTCGATTCGTGCTGCTAATCGATGAACTTGGCAAATTATCCGCTGATGCTGGCTCCTCAACTGAGACAGCAGCTACTCCTGCAGCTCCAGCGGATGCGGAACGAGCTGCTCGCTCCATGGACACATTGGGCGTCAAGGGGGAATGGTGAGCAGCTGCTGTGGCCCCAGAAGTCTTGTATATATTCGTCATGCTCTGAGAATTCTCGCCATGCAGGCAGCTAAAGAAACTGGAGGCACTGTTCTTCACTGGAACCTTGACATTGGCATACTCCACGGGCGTCGATGAACTGGTATTTCCCATGTAAGCCTGACAATTTGGCACATTGCAGGTGGTATTTCCATTGCTTACAGTGGCTGCTGCTCCACCTCCTCCTCCGCCGCCGCCCGTTCCATTGGCATTCAAACGAATATGACCCACTGTTCCGAAATGCGAGTGTCCCAGCACCGCATAGTGTCCACCCAGATTATAGTGATCTATGTTGCCGCACGACGAGCTCAGGTGTCTCTCAATCCTGCCAATCCCATGACCCAGCACATCGAGCCGTGTATAGAGCGGCACTCGATTGGCGGCAGCAGAGGTGCGATAAAGCGGCTCATCTCGTATTTGCTCGTAAATATTCTCATAGCGCATGGTTCCAGCGGCGGCATAGGGGAGATTATAACCATCGGTGGACTCGGTGTCGTCGAAGCTGCGCTGACGCTGGCAGTTGGAGCGGCTGTTGGTGTAAAGGGGAGTGCAGCGAAGGCCATTGCCATAGCGATTGCCTGGAGGAGAGGTAAGAGAAGGATTAGGAACAGAAGGATTAGGACACTAATCCTTTAACGAATGCAAACCTGTATTCCGCCAATCAACTTTTCTTGGGAGGCCACTTATAACTTCCCTATAACTTCTATATCTCTAAATATTTTGCAATTAAAAAATTTAACACAAAATTGTTTAAATGTTATGTTTGCTAACTTTAGGCGTTTTGGCACAACAAATTTTTGAAAAGTGTCCCGAATTAACCATTGTTCTTCCCTTAAATACTTCCTATTAACTTCCCTTCCCTTTTCTATTTCTCAAAACACTTGCAATGAACTTGAGTTCCAAATTTGCTAATAAACTTCAAGCAAAAAAAGGTGCAAACTATAGGCAATTATCACTTAATTAAATGTGGAAGCAAGCAAAAAATCTACTCAAAAACTGAACTTCCGCTCAAATCTTATTTATACAACTTGAAAGTTTTATGAAATCAATTCTCACCATTCTGCATATCGATGCGAAAGTTGCGCCTGTAGCCAAGGCCAGATCTCACGGCTCTTGGAACATCATAGGCAGCGGCGGCGGCAGAAGCGTTTGATCCCAGGATTCCTCCCGTAGATCGATCGTACAAGTCATTTCTATAGTTGTTCATGGGCAGTATGCGTTGTGGTTGCGGCTGTGCTTGTTGTGGTTGTGCTATTGGCGGTGACTGGTTGTTGTTGTTGTTGTTACTGGCATTGGCTTCCGTTGGCGCTGGTTGTTGTTGTTGTTGTGGTGGTTGCTGAGCTTCCTCGGCATTTGCAGGGGCATTGGCAGCAGCCGCTTGATTGCTGGGCTGACCAATTGGTGCATAGATGTTTTCGTAATGCGGATGATTTGGCTGTGGAGCAGCAATAGCGGCATTAGCTGGTGCAGGAGCAGGAGCTGCAGCCGGTGCAGCTGCTCCAACTGGCGCCAGATTACCATAGATGGCAGCACCACCAATGGCACCCTCCATTGTGCCCTCCGCCTGGCTATTCTCATCATCCAGCAGTGCGATGGCCAGCGAAGCCGCTTGACTGCTAAGTATAAAAAGTTTAAAAATTTATTAAATTGTTCATTTTATTAAAAACTTGCACTCACCGTGCCAATGCACCCTGCTCTTCCATTCACATGGGCTTATCGATCATACAGACGCCCGCGTAACTGCGTCCAATGGTCATCAGGGCAGGCAACATCCTCCAGCTGTCCGAATCGGGACAATAGACCTCAACCGAGGCAAGATTTGTGGTTCCATCATCGCCTCCCACCACATATAGCAGGCCTTCGTGAGCCACCACGCCAGCATTTCGCCGGCAATAAGACATATCCGCCACCGAGCGCCAAGAATTTGTTTCGCAGTCGTAAGCCTCCACGGATTTCCTGACCATGGGGCCATCATGTCCGCCCACAGCATACAGGATGTTATTGAGAACTCCCACACCAGCGCCGCTGCGCCTGGAACTCATCTCCGCCACCGCTACCCAGGTGTCCGTATCGGGATTGTAGCGTTCCACCGAAGACAAGCATTGACGCGAGAAGCCATCGTAGCCGCCAACGGCATAGAGAAGACCATGGACCACGCCCACACCCACTGAGCTGCGACGCGTGGACATGGAGGCGATAAATCGCCAGATGTCAGTCTTGGGATCATACATCTCGGCACTGGATAGACCGGTGGTGCCATCGAATCCTCCCACAGCGTATATGCAACCATTTAGGACAGCTACGCCTAGAGTGGATCGCCGGGCCTCCATGTTGCAGCAGTTGGCCCACTGATCCGTGGTCGGATCATAGACATCCACAGTGCGAACGCGCAGCGAGCCATTGAAGCCGCCGACTGCGTAGACTTTCTCACCGAGAACACTCAGTCCGGAACGGCACCGTCTGTTTGGCATTTCGGCAGCCTGGTACCATTTCTCCTCCCTCAGATCATACCATTCCACTGAGCGAATAGCTTTCGGGGCTTGTCCTCCTATAACGAGCAATATTTTGGGCATTCCCACCGGTTTCCGTGGCACAGTT